CGGCCAGGAAGAGATGGGGAATGTTCGGGGAGAAAAGCCTGTATCAAAGAGCTTATTTTATCTCATTAGGGGGGAATAAATTCTGGAAGCCGTCCGCTGCTTACGGATGTCTTACGCTTTGAAATCCCATTTAACAACTTAGTTATTTGAAAGTTTGGTAGGCAGAGAGCCAGGAGAAGCTGCATTACTCCAACAATGGGATCACTCATTCCTTTTAACACCGGACTGTCAGTTTTTGCAGAGGCAGGCCCTAAACCACTAACTGAGGAGTGCGAATGAGACTTTTATTTTTTATTATTCCCCCTCCTTTCAGAAACAGCATTCGTGGCTGATCCTGCAGACACAGAGTAGTGCTGTTCACACAAGTCAATACTATTGCCAGTTTATTGGCTTTAGTCACGTGCGTAAAATTACAGAATATGAATTTTGGCTGGACTGAAGTATGATGTAATCTTTGGCCAAGAAAAATACAGTAGTAGCAGCAGCAGCATTTCTAAATGGTAGTAAGTTCCCCTATTCAGATATTATTTAAACTCATGCCATTTATTCTTCTAATCTAACCTGCACTTTAAAGGCTGAAGAATTCTAGGTGTGTACAAATATAAAGAACTTCTTGCAGTGCAAACCCAGTTTTGCTTTAATCTTTTTGTATCCCCAGTGAAACTAGCTGTGTATATATGCTAAGCTTTGGAAAAAATAATTTCAAAGAGGAATCTGGAAGAGTTTGGAGTATTGAAAAAGGATTATAACCAAATTCCCAATGTTTCAATAATGTTATTTGATAGTGACAAGTATTGTGTCAAATTCGGCTTCAAAGCATTCTACAAAATCATTCCTCTCACATGAGAGCAGTCCAGAAAAGTACATTTAACACTGCTTCACCAATGCAAAGTCTGACACAGAAGTAAAAAACTGTGGAAGACAATAGAAGGATGTCAGAGGAAAGAAATAAAACCTCATTTGGGTGGTCTCACTGCTAGGTTCCTGCTTGGTGGCTGCATTTCCTTTTTTCACCTAGACCAGATGGTCCACGTGCTTTTAAATGCTTCTTACAAAATGGACTAACCTGGTTCTACTCACTTACCCAGACAGGATAATCTTGTTAATCTCATAATAGCCCTCAGTTTTGAGCATGCACTAGACTTGTCTGAGCAAATGCTTACTGTTTTATGGATGCATGTAAATGCTTCTTTCCCATCACTGTTTGTTCCTTCTTTGGGCTACTACTGTTACTATTTCTGTGAAATTATGCAGCACTTCTAAGTTAGGTCTCTTCTGTACAAGTATTGGTCTCCTATTCGGCAGCTTTGGTGTTCTGATTTGCACTGAAGCAACTTCAGATTTTACTAAGGCAGCCAGGTTCACTGCAGGCTAGAGAATCTGCATGTGAATGAAAGGAAGTAATTTAATATAGCACACAGAAAGCTGCCCCATGGAGACGGGGTGCAAAGCCAGCATGGCAGCTTTCAGAACACAGACAGTATCTATCAGAAAGAAAACCTTTCCTTTGCTTATGCAGTCAATCACTCAGTACAATCTATTGTATTTTTGCATTGAGGTTTTAGTTGGTTTTTTCCCCCCTGAACTAGTTATACTCTTCTTTCAACTGTGACTTTTTATATCCTGCTATAGGAGACAAAGTAGCAGGAATCTGGACCAGAAAAAAAACCCACCATGCAACCAAATTGCAGTCATCTCCACAACATCCAAGGGAGCAGTGATGACTCTTCATCTTCTCAGAGTGCCCACGCAGTGAGGTTGTCAGGAGAGAGCTCGTGCCACCATAGTGGAGATGTTCGCATACAGCTAAACTCTGCTGTGGGAGAAGCCAGAGAAAACACGAGTTCCCAGCATTCGAGACCAGGTTCCCAAAGTCGCTCACACGGACATGCCCACAGCGAAGCAGGGGGGCTCAACGATTCCACTCCAGACTCAGAGGAACACAGCAGCAGCTCCCTCTCAGAGCTCAGATACCTCCTCCAGTGGCTGCACAAAAGTCTGCCGTATATCTTGATTCTGTGTGTCAAATTGATCATGCAGCATATAATTGGTAGAGTATAACAAAATAAGGTCTGAGGGAACAGACCCTCCCCTCCAAAGAGATATACTAATAACCATGCCTGAAATATAATTCAATTTATTTTTAGCTTTATTTTTATTTGCTTTATTCATCAGTAAGAGAGATTTACTAAACTACATTTCAGCGGCTTCTGTTTCCTTTGCTGGCATATGTACAATGTGCTTAATTATTCTGCCTTGATAGTCTGAGCTATTAATTGTAATTACAAAGACATATTAGAAATGACTAGTTTTTTAACCCAGTTCAGTAATTTTTTTTTAATTTTCTTGTGTATAACTGACCCTTTTTTCCTAATAGGCATTTCTCTTGGAATTGGGCTGCTAACAACTTATATGTATGCAAACAAAAGCATAGTAAATCAGGTTTTTCTAAGAGTAAGTATCACCCTATGCAACAAAATTCTGTAAGTTAATCAAGACCTTTATCCATCAATTTTTTTAAAGAAATGTAAATGGAGATACTGTTTTATTTACCTAATAGTATTAGGTGTTATGGTTTTAAGTTGGAAGTAAAGTCTTTATACTCCTGTACAGCGTAGAGCTTCTCAGATAAGTAAGGTTTGCAAAATTCAAAAAGAGGTCCCCCCCCCGACTTCGAATATTGAAATCGCTTCAACTGATAAAAGCTTTTTGGAATTTATGGAAGAATTTCTTAACTATATTTGTGGAATCAAATAGCAATTGATTTAAACTTTCAGCTGTCTCTGTTCACTCTCAAAGGAAAATCTGTTGTTTCTTCAGTAGGGTGGGTTTTGCTTGTGTTTTTAGAAAAAAACCCAACTTGATACACATAGAAACTGGTATGTTGAAAACATTAAAATTACAGCTGTACCTTTCCATTGAGTTCTATTTTATTTGGCCCAAAACCACTACGATAAAATCCTCTAGTAGTAACTCTGTTCAGGTGCAACAGACAGCACTTTGGAGATAAATATTTAAGACATTGATACTGAGGTAAGGACTGTAATATGTCTTTATGATTATCTTACAGGAACGGTGCTCCAAGTTGCAATGTACTTGGTTACTAGTATACCTATCTGGATCATCTCTCCTCTTGTACTACACCTTTCGTTCTCAGTCACTGTATTATAGGTAAGTAGAGGAACATCTCTACTCACATCATAAATTACTCAAAATTAAATATTAACTGGGAACACTTTATCTGGGCTGCTACTGTTTTTCTTTAAGTGTGCCATTGGTTTCTCTTTCATTTTAATCTCCATTCCTCCTCCTCTTCTGCCAAATTGAACAGGCACTGTCCTTAAAAACAGTGTGTTGGAATTTGCAAGATTAGACCCCATCCTCAACTTAAAGGCACTACTGTACCACAGGAAACATACCTGGGTTTGATTCGTAGCTCTGACCCTACCACCTTGCCTTTGGAATACCGAATACAGCATTCTGGGGCTTTGTGGAGTTTATGTCTCCAGTTTTTTTTTTTTTCCATTACTGTTCTGTAGCTCCAGTCCTGGCTGTAAATTGGTCAAAGGCTGTATTGCTAAAATGGGGAAGAAAGCCTGTCTCTAGAGGATGGGGGTTGTGGTGAAGATACAGGAGAGAAGGTTCAAAAATTGAAAGGTTGTCAGAGATCATAAGTGATCAGTTTGCAATAAAGAGTTAATTTTCTTAGCAAATATTTTTCCTTTATGTAAACCAGGTTTCCGTTGTTAATTAAACCTGCCATGATAATCTCTGGTCATGCTTTCCTCTAAATAGGGTGCTCCAGTAACTTCTGTTAATTCTTTTTGTAGCTTAATCTTTTTAAACCCTACTGTGGATTTTATGAACTTCTGGGAGGTACTTTGGATTGTGGGAGTCACAGACTTTATTTTGAAATTCCTCTTCATGGGCTTCAAGTGCTTTGTTCTCTTGGTGCCTTCTTTTATGATGTCCTTTAAATCCAAGGTAAGGAAACAATCTGTATTTTTCCTTCCTCATGAAGATCCTTTTAACAGTAAAATTAGCTAATTACTAAATTCTACCCAGAGAAAAGACTTTTTAATTAAAGGTCCGTATATAATCCACCACTACACTATGGGTGAAAAAACCCTGTGGATTTCATGTTCTTCCCTGCTTGGTGCTAGGGAAGGTTTACAGTCTGATCTGAAACAATTGCTTGTATTATGTCATCTGTCTCTAAGTGGGGGGGATGAAGAAACCTTTTATTTGCTGCAATGTAAGAATGCGTATACAGGCGGTTAGTATGGACCAGCTGAAGCACAGTGAATTTTTTACATGCTTGACAGTAACTGACATGGGATGATTTTAAGATCTGCACACGTAAACAGCTGGGTTTTCTGTCTCTTCAAAAATAATCTGAATTTTCTTTTTGTTAATAAAGCAGTATTTGCTTCAGATTAATTAATTTGAGGAATTAAGCTATGAATCAAACCAATGAAGTTTAATAATTTTCACAGAAGCATACACTAGTTGGTGGGGTATTTATCTGCTTCCCAAGGTGAGACAGGCAAAACCAATTAAATTTTATGTCAAAATAGCAAACAACTAGTACTGGATTAAAAAAAAAAAACAAACCACAGAACAAAAACCACCACAAAAACCAAACAACAAGTCCAGTTCATATGTGGTGGCATTTGAATAGGATGTTTTGGTAGGTTTTATCTCTTAAAATATACCAGAAAAAGTTTTTCTCAGGTACAACGGATTTCTCTAAATACCAGTTTATAATCAAGATCTCTATTTCTTTTTTTCTACAGCTAGTGATATAACATCAAAAAAATAGTTACCGAAAATTCCATTACACCAACTATGACCTAAATTGTGGCTAAATTAAAGGAGGAATCTGGTCAATAATGGCATTATCCAGTGTACATTATAGAAAGAGTACTTCTTGCCTATTACAAATACAGTTTTAAAGACAAACTTAAGGAAATAAAGTAAGAGCTAAGCTAAATATCTATGATTATACATGCAGACACACACAGAGTGCTCTGTGCAGGACACTTGAGCTTTGTTATTTAGTAATTTTTAGGGTGTTTACCTGTTTACCTGTTCAGTCCAGTTACCCTATGCTTTGTTCCTGGCCCTCCAATTTCTTACCACCCCATAATTATCACAAGATAAGGCTTCTTACACAGGCATGAAATAATGTTTACAGGAAAACAGTTTGCAACTTATGTTTGTTAATAAAAGAATGGGCCTTGCTCTCATTTTTTCAATCCTGAATGCAGGACACAACTCTGCTAATGACAAACTGACTAAATTTGTCTTGTTTTCCTTTTTCCTGTAACGTTTATTTTCTTTTTTTAATTTTGTAAGCATTAAGTCTGATATCATTGTTAAGTAGGTAGGCATCTGACAAAGCCATCCTCTTTGAGCCTATTAATTTGATTTTCTGCAGTACAGCAATCAATTGTGTTACTGCTATTTGTACACTCGTGGTGAGACTCATCATCTGGGCTCCATTCTTTTTCACGCTGTTTCAACTGTTTCAAGATATTATGAGAGGAAGTTACTCAAAAGAATAACAACACATCTTTACTCTATTTTTTAAAAAAATCCTTTGTGTTTTAAATCTTGAGCGATTCCTTTGCATGTCTTGCTTAGGGCTACTGGTACATGCTGTTAGAAGAACTCTGCCAGTATTACCGTATGTTTGTCCCCATACCAGTTTGGTTCCGTTATCTTATTGGCTATGGGGAGCTGGACAGTGTCCTAGGATGGACCCTTGGGATATTGCTGGGCCTTCTCTACCTCATCCTAAAAGTATGTAAGCTTTATATTCCTCTCAAACTATTTTGCAGTAATTATTAATGGAGGGTTAGACACACACAAACTAACACATTTCTGAAAGTTCCCCTGTGTTTGAACCGATTTGCAAGTTGGTGATTCATTTTAACTGATCCAGCCTTTCAAAACCGATGGGAAAACTGGCTCAGGACACTAAATCTTTTTTCTTTTTCCTGCACCTGTTCTGGGAAAGGGTTGGGGTGGCATAGCAAAGAACACTGCTCCTATAGGTCCCCTCACATCTGACACTGATCAGACTGTTATCAAATACTGAGAAAAAGAGTTTGCAAAAATAAAGGTAAAATTCATGGCTAAAAGAATCAGCATTTTCCAGGAAACTAGATTTTCTCTCTGCTAGAGTATCCTGTGTGATGTTAAACAAGATAAACATAAGTGTTCATACTGGCTGTCTACTTCCCCTAAGAGCTAATCTGCCCTAAATATAACCAGACTCAGTACAAGTTTGGCTTTGAACATGACAAATACTTTATAATGCTATGCTCTCTTTATGACAAGACTAAAGACTATTGCATATATGATAATAATGCTGATGTATTTGCACTTGTGTGCTTCATTTCAGAACCTCAACACTATTTTTCTTCTAAAGAACAGACACCTACTGGGGAAAAAACTTCAGGCTAAATTCTTAGCTTGGTTACATATTAAGCAACTAAAATAGGGTCAGTCTGAAGTATAGCTTTGCTTATGTTCTTGCCAATGTCAAACAAGCAGTGAGACTTCTAGTGTTGGAATCTGAGCAAGCGCTCGGAAGCTTTTTAATTCACAAATACTAAGCATAACTTGGGTTTTCTTTCCCATTTCAGCTTTTGAGCTTTTTTGGACAATTGAGAAGCTTCAGGCAGGTCTTACGGATATTTTGTACGCGACCAGTGAGTACTGAATTCTCTTATGACAAAACTATAAACCCAATTTACATGAAAATACTTTAAATACCTCATTTCTATATTACTTTGCAGTGTTCTAACACTAGACAACTGCATTTTTAAAGTAAAGCCTGTATACTTGGTCTCCCATTTCATGGTCTGAATTCCTTGGCTACATGATTACATTTTCATCTGAACAACAACAAAAAACCCAACAAACCAAACCACCACCACCCCCCCCCCCAAAAAAAAATCTATTCTCCATGTCTCTTCAGATAAATGTAGATGAAATAGCATACCCTTTATGTCCTGCTTTCTGCTTTTTAACTGGAATAAATATTGGTTGGATGCAGGCAGAGCTTTATGCTGAAATATAGTGAGAACTGAAGCTTGCCAAATTGACATGCAAGTAACTTCTGTTACAACTGCCCGGTTCTAGATAATCTTTCTCTAGTACTAAGTGGTATTGTTTAGAGTTGGTTATTCATGCAGTAAAATATACAGAACATTTTGGAGCACAGTGTCATTGAACTAAAAGAATAATAAAGCACTTCTCATTTTCTAAGTGCTATCTTGGTCAAACTTCACATGGTGCTTTGCTCAGAGGTTACTGTTAAAATAAAACTGCTACAGATTTTTCCAGTAACTGATCAGGGGAAGATGCTAACTGGACAGCATGGTAAGCAGGAGCATATAAGCTTTAGGCCCCAAGACAACTACTAAAAAAACTTAGCAATATTTCATAGGATTAGGGATTGAATAGTCTTCCTGACATAGCAGCCCTTATTCCCAATTTCTTTCTGTCCTGGCATTTTTGTGTTTTGTTTTAGCTCCTCCCTTCCTACAAACTAATATCTACTGAAAATATCTTGTTTCACAGCACTACGGGGTGACAGCTAGCAAGAGACAGTGTTCCGAATCAGATGATATTTGTTCAATCTGCCAAGCTGAATTTCAGAAGCCTATTCTGCTTATCTGTCAGGTAATGCACATAATCAGAATTGTTTTTTGCAAACTGAAGAATATTTTAAGCAACTGGCAAACAAAACAATATAGATTAGTGAGTGTATGTCTTCTGATTATTAGAAATCAAGCTATGCAAGTAATATTCCGTCTTATAAATGGAAGAGCTTAGAAGCTCTAAGTTCTCATTCTTTTCATTACAGCACACATTTTGTGAAGAATGCATCTCTTTATGGTTTAATAGAGAAAAAACGTGTCCACTCTGCAGAACTGTTATTTCAGACCATGTTAACAAGTGGAAGGATGGAGCTACATCTATGCATCTACAGATTTTCTAAAGCATGTCAAACAGCTTGTTTTACAGTTTGTTTGTTCAAGCTAAGGTTTTTCAGTTTACTGCAGATTAAATTGTAGGTGGCACAAGGAAAGAGTTTCCAAATTCTAGGTATCATGCTTCTATGAAATGTTTCAGTATTTAAAACAGTGCAGAAGTGTTAACTTGACCTTCTTACATATAGAAAAGTAAGTTTTCAGAATGAATGCAGACAAGCCAGCATTGCTTCTCTTGTGATTCTTGTAGGAAACAATCAAGTCCTTGAAAAATGCTGTACTACTTCTTGCAGCAGCTTCTTAATTCAACATTTTATTTAAAAATTTAAGTAGACTTCCAGACTGTACTAAATTGTATTTATCCTTCTAACATGACTCAACCCAAAAGGTCAACCTACTGTTTTACTAAGATTATGAGCAAATTTTATACTCTGGACTACAGTGAGAATTAGAGCTACTTGTCACACTTGGCATTAAAGATCCTTTAATGCTTGCCCAACGGATGAGAAATTAGCTTCTTATTCATGTACCTGTACCACAGCAACTATTTCTCACTGTACCTGGAGGTAAGCCACAAGAATAAGACATTTCCCCTTTAGGTTCTTGTAGACTTCTTGTGGATCTCTGGCTTAATACATAACCCAACCACTGATGTTAGTTTTTTACTTAGCATTTTATAAAGTTGGTATTTTTAAAACAAATCTTTAATACTCTATTTTTGTCATAACAGGAACCAGATTTTCTTACAGGGGAGAATCTATTTTATACTACTATATTTGCAATTTGTAGTATGCATAAAAATCAGAGAGAATAAATGCATTTAAATCTATTTGTTTGGTGCATGTTGAATAAAGAAACAAGATTCATTACTGTTTCAGTATTAACTTATATGTAAGCACATAACAGCTCACTGCTAGGTATAATTGTCCTGTTAAACTAACGTCTCTAAAAAACAAAAAACTTCCAAACACTACAACTTACTCATGACCAGTCTTTATGCTAATTATAGAGTTAGCTTATGTACAATCTCACCTTTTTTTTTCCTGCTTGTCTTTTGCTATTCAGATAAGACTAAAAAAAACCCATTCAAATTATTCTGTTACAGCAAAGTTAAATTGAGTTGCCATTAACTTAAGCTTAACTGAACACCTTTAGGAAACTTCTAAATTAGGGAAAAAACAGAATTAAAAAGTTAAACACTTACTTGATGAATGATGTAGCAACTCAAATGACCAGGCAGAGTGAGTACTATAAACTTGCAGCTGACACAGCCAGATTTATAGGGCTGACAGGGCATGATGGGAGAGTGTCCTTAAAGGCACAGCCAAAAGTTTAATACTAGTAGAATTTAGTAGTCTGAATAAAAATCTAATGAGATGGAGGATTCAAGCTAAGAGGTATAATTTTATGCTCAACCTGGGTTTTGCGATAGCATGCTGTATATTTGCTAATTGTATTTTTTTGTTTGAAGTTTACTGCAGTTGAGAGTAAATGTGGCCTATGATTGTTCCACCGTGGTATCTGAGTGACTGGGGAAAAAGACTCCAGCTTAAAGAAAACAGGCAAAAGCTTCTAAGTCAGTAATTGGAAACTTATGGGAGTAGAAGAGACTGGTTCTCATGGAAGCCTTTCCCAGCAGGTGAGGTATTTAGTGTGGAGAATGTGCAGCTGAACGGTGTTAGAGCAATCCTGAGGGTGGCAGGGAAGAATTAGAGCTTGGCCACAGCCAGAGTTCTGCTGTAACCGCCTTGTGCCTGTACCTCCAGTATTGTAGAACAAACTGCTCTTTGTTTCCTCAGAGAGATCTAGCTATGCCTTAGCTTGCATTTGAGGTTCATACAAGAGCAGAACTGTCTGTTATTTAAATTTCATCAGTGCTGATATTCAGACTGCTGCTGCAGCGGAACTTCCCTTGAGACAAGAACTGAATCAGTCAAGGAACAAAAAGGAGTAGGGGGAACCTAAGGTTGGATTCTGAATCTCTGATGGGCCCACAGAGACTTTGGCAGCTCATTTGGTTACACAATCATATTTAGACTTTCCCAAACGTCATCATAAACATACACTTTAGCTAAAGAGTGTTTTAAGGCTGCTTTTTTTTTCTTTTTCTTCATACAGGTATTGTGTGAGTACTGTGTAAACAATCAGTGCTATATTGTAGTCAACAAATAGCACCTTTAAAAAAAGCTTTGCTTGTGTAAAATGTGTGACTAAGCCTGTACACGGTTAATAAGGGCAGATGTAATAACCAACTCTTTCTAAAATACTGGGCAAAATAAAAATTGTAACCTACCCTGGATAAGCTTTTCCTGAAATACTAATACCAACAGCTTAATCACTTCTTAATTCAAAAATCCTCTCAGAGAAACTATAAACTAAAATTCATTAGACTTGGACATGATGTTAGAGCAAGGAAATGCACTTCATAATACTTGAGTATTGATTAAATTAATTGTCTACCAGTAATAGGTAGCCATTCATCAGCATTCCAATAATCTGTGACAGACTTTCCAAAATCTTTTTACAACAATTGGTCTAAATCACCAAGTCCATTCCAGGAATATTAATTGGGAAGGTACCAGTTCTGAGATGCACCAGCTGCTTAATACAAACAGTTGTCCTGAAAGCAGAGCCACCACCCTGCTGATGAAGGGACACGATCTGAGAAACAAGTATGCTTTCTTACTGTCTTATCCCCAAGATGAGTAAATCGCAGCCCTGTTGCTTATGCTGCAGGGAATAGCGAGAAGGAAGCTTGCTGTTCCATCATAGAATAGAATCACAGAATCATCTATAACTCATCTATGATTCTATGACAGCGCAAAGCTGAAGTGGCCCGTCAGGACCAACAGCTTGGACTGGTAGACCTAAGATGAACGAGGAAGGTAGTTACAGACCAAGAAACACGCTGCTTTACACATATACATTCAAAGTATGCAGGGCAATTTGAAAGAAATTAACCTGAACTAAATATTCTTTTGCTATAGAAGTATTTCTAAACTGCTTACCTCAACAGGTAGTTCAGTATCTGAGACCTTGAGGAATTAAGGCATCAAGGACTGTATGCAAGGCCAGCATTATTACTAAAAGCACGGAACTAATGTACAAGTATTACACTTGTGGTTAAGGGAAAAAAACCCCAAAACACACGAACTTGACAGTGTCACCTGGCCTGTGCAGCTCACCAAGACTGGTTTATGGAGCACAACAAAACGTGGGGTCAGTGCTTCAGGTCAACCCTGGATTGGTGTTGATGCTTTGGTCTTTGTCTACCACATAGCAATAGCACCACCTTACTAGAATAAGGGTGGATATTGGTCAGAGGTAGGACCAGGAAACATTTGTCTTTTATTCTCTCTGTTGATGAGTTTAATGAGTGAAAATTATCCAAACCCAGTAATATTATCAAACACATTTTATTAAAAAACAAGAACTAAAAAGAGATTTTGATCAATCGGTTTAGATTTACACTTCAGAAATGAAACAAGTCATTCTCATCTTAGTTACAGAGAGGAAAAAAGCGAGTAACTTACATCCACGAATGACATCCTCTCTGATCCGCTTGTCAGCATCATGCTATTAAGATGCAACTCTTCCTTACCAAGCCCACTCAGGCCAGGGTAGCTGCCCTGCTTTCCACACACACAGACACACAGACACCCAGCACACGTCTGACTCTGCAGGAGACAGAACAGAGGATGACAAGTGGCAATCGGTAGCCACTTTCTAACAGCCCAAGAACCGAGGTGAACGCACCAGCCCTTGGTAAGACAGGCCGATCAGAACTAGCATCTGTCAGGTCCTTTAAGTTCGAAGCGGAATTCCTCCTCCCTCCCTTTCCCCTCAAAGCTGTCATGAAAGACAATGATTTAGTTCCACAGTCATACTTAGGGCCTACCTACTTCCTTAACAAAAATAAAAATAGGTCACTTGGATTAGCATATGTTTAAATTTGCACTTAATTGCTATTCACATCCATCTTATTCAGCGGTTGAGTATATTTAGTTCCAGTAAACTGTGAAAGATGAAAAACAGAATAGGGATTACCTTTGTTTCTACTAAGGCAGCTCAAGTTTGTTTCTTGAAGACAGCTACAAAGCCAAGTTAATCTAGAAGAGAACAATCTGTAGAAGTTCATATACAGGAACTGCATACAGTATATCATCAAGGATCTGCAGGAAAAATATTCAAGTAATTTGCCTTGTTCTTAATAACTTCTCCTCTTCCTTTACCCCAAGGGGTAAAGGATTTCCCTCTAAACTAGGAAAATGAAACAGCAACTATCCTGCTGTAGAGACAGAATTTTAAAAAAAAAACCAACAAAACAACCAAAATCCAAGCATCTGTCCTAAGAACAACAGTAGTCTCCCTCAACGTTTGATGTACTTAATCATTAACAGTGAGAGCAGGTTGGGAGTTAATACTAAGAAGAGAGCAGACCCAAAGGAAACAGCCATGGTATAGTTAGAGTGGACTCAAATATTAAATGTTCTCCAGCAGTTCAGCTTTTAGATAGCAAGACCAAAAAAAAGGGATATTCAAAAGAACAATTGACTCATTTATTTTTATCTTTTATTATGAGCTAATATCAGGATGACATTCAAATGTCAGATGGCACAATTAAGACAGTCTTGGTAGGAATTATTCCAGCATTCCCAAAATTACAATTTAGTACACGAATGGCATCAAATGTATGCATCACTCCCACAGAGAAAAATTATGAAATTCTGAATATCTTATACCAGAATAGTTTCTGCATCAAATGGGAAAAGAAAAACTGCTGGTAACACAGCTGACCTATAAACCTTTTGTGATAATGACCTGCAGAACAAAATATTCCCCTATTTAACATCTAGTAAAAAAAAATATGACTTTTGTTCAAGTTTAAGATTTAATACTTTTATATGGTTAGCCACAACAGGTATTAACCTCAGTTTTACTATATTTTTGTAATGCTACAAAAATCCTATAAAATCAAATTATAGTGAATTTTTCAGTGATTATAATTAAAAAAGCGCAGCTTGTACAAAATAAAAAAAATAAGATTCTATACTCTAATGAAAAATTTAAGACATTTTTAAATGAACAAAAGAAAGCACTTGTTAAGCTCTCCAATATTCAATGCATTCTGCATTTATCTGAAATAGCCAGACAGGAGCTAGAACTCCACTCCCCTTAGTTCACAACTAGTAATTTTGATACTATTATATATATATAGAGGATCTATGTCTGATATTTTTACAAATAAATACAGGATAAACCATATTGCATAGTGTGTGCTTGCTGTCTGAGTCACACTCCAGAAGTTTCACAGTTATGGTAGGGAATTAAACTTATAATCTATGGGATGAAACATTGACAGTACATGAAATTTAATTTTAAAAGCCATTAATTGTATCTGTAATTAATCAGTGAACTCAGACAAACAACTCTTGCCATTCTTGCCAGCCATATTAAACCAATTCTACTGGACAATTATATCCAGCCAACCAAAAAGCAACTGTTAGCTGTAACTGGGACCAAGAGAGATCTGCCTCAAAAAAAAAAAAGTTTTTTTTTTAAACTAAGTTTCTTTATATTCAGTAAACATGTTAGGAAACCTATGTTAACAAGTGGCACAGAGAGGCACTGATTGAAGTGGTGTGTATTTGCAAATATGCATAATACAAACACACATGAGCACTCTGATTTCAGTTTCACAAACATGCCACCAGTAGCCGTAATACCAACTGAAAAATGGCAATCTTCCCGTACAATTTATGTCACTAGAGGGTAACTTGATTTTCCTTATAAATCTTAAAAAAAAAAAAAAATAATTCCAACAAAAGGCTTATCAGGAAGAAAAAAATACTAATTTTTACTCAATCATAACCATCTTTTTTGTTGGTTCTTTGTCAGTATCAACAAGACATCCATGAATCCTTCTGACTTGCAAATGTTAGAAAACAGCACTCTGATTGGATTCAACATGCTTAGTTTTATGGCTTGGATCCTATGGCTCAAAGAGATTCAGTATACACAGAGTAAGCAGAATCTATAAAAAAATCCCTACTGTTGTGAAACGCTAGAAGTAGACTTTGCACAGTTTGACTAAAGATAATGCAACGTGTGGCAGGCAAAAAGTGACAGGACTTGTATGCAGTTGCATGATCATATACACACACACGCACACACCATACACACTCTAACTAGTGTAAAGCTCTGCAGATATTAACCCTTTCACCAGCTATGTTCATGGAAATGCTTTCTTTAAGGCAGGAAGTATTTAAGTAAGGTAAAGTTACCTTTATTTTATTCTTTGTACCTGTAAGTCGTTTGTACAGATTGTGACAATTTCAAAAACATAAATAGTGTCCTTAGAACATGTTTCCTAAATTAAGTTGCTAAAGTTCTGACCCACTGTGGAAGACATTCACTGAAAGGCCATTTAACACTTTTCTCATACAATCAGCAAATTTATTGCCCCAGCATAGAAAAAAATGTTGAGAAATTTAGAAATGTATAATGGCAGGGAATTCCCATAAGCAAAATTTTATTTAAAAAAAAAATCCTCAGATTCTTACCCACTGGTTAGAAAAAAAGTTTATTTCCTTATACTCTGTAGAATTTATATCTGTTTCCTGTGGTGTTTCCTATGTGTTTCTACTGACCTTGTATTCCGATGCACTTTTTTCTGATCTTTTATATGGGTAAGAATCTGACCATATTCAGCTGTCTCCATCTAAGGACTAGCCTGTACAAAAGTGATATTTCCCAGTGAAATGTCTGCTGAGGACAAGGATGAAATAAGCAGGACGTGTATGTGAGCCCATGGCTTCCAGTTAAGCCGAGAACATAGCAGCATTACCATTTGATTAGATCCGTTTGTCTTTGCAGGAACAGGTATTTCAGCTGGGTAAGCAAGTGAAACAGTTCTCTCCCACCCCACATTGCCAAGCTGGTAATCGAGCGATTCGCTTACTGATTTGTTGTTTCATGAGGAGAAGAATCAGAACTAGAGCCTTTACTTTCTTCACAGCAACCAATTGTTTTGCATTTTTAATTTTGGGATACTTTCCATAATGAGCTGAATCAAAAAATCTATTTGAAAAATATATATTTTTATATATATAAAAAACTCATGTTTCGAATGTGAAATACCAATTAATTTTATCTTTCATCTTTGATTCCACCCCATTGTAGGAAACAGCTTAATCAAGCTTGCATGCTAATTATTCCTCAGACGCAAGCATATAGGCATTTCATACGTTGCCTAGTGAAAGGGCTAACCCTCCTTGACACATTCACGACTAGACCAGTGATTCTGAAGCAACATCCTGACCCTTAATACTGTCAGTTTCAAGCTATCAAGCTGAAAAATCCTTGATAAGGTGAGAAGATGTCACTGCGAATCAGTTAGATGATGTGCCTAGAGTTCTGCAATACCATTTTCTAAAGTTTTTTATGCACCATTGATTGACAGAAAAAAAAAAAATCCATTTTTCTTTGCTTTCCAAGTCGCTCTGTGCAATGACTGACTCTTTGATACTGTCACTTTTTAAAAGTAAACCATACAAGCCCTCATATTTCAACTTCAAGGGGGCTTATGTCCGTTCTTTGTTTTCCACCTTCAAAGGCTTAAAAAAATTGTGTTGTCATAGATTCATGCGCAAGTGCTCTGGTCGTTTGGAAATCATGGGAAAAGCTTGTTTTTTATATGGCCCAGAGTTTGGTTGCCGGATTGGAAGTGGTGCTGAGGCCTCTCCACAGACTGTCACATCCATTTGCTCTATTCCGCTTGTCTCCATTGGATATTCCACAGGTGTCTGAGTATTTGATGCGCTGGCAGAAGCACCTCTTCCCCAGAATTCCCCAGGGGAAAACTTTACAGGGCTTTAAAACAAGAAATATAAAAATCAGAGACGAAGATATATACAGTACCAAGGTATGTCCTTTACTCTGCAGGAAGCTGAACTCAAATGCCTATTGAGAAGCATTTATAATTCTTCCTTCCACTTCCAGAAGTTTGAGAAAGTTTCCATGTCTAGCTTCTACCATGGTCTCTTATAAAGTAAAATTCTCTCATTTGAGTAGTGAGGATATATTTCTAGATGATTGCAGAAGGAATTTTCTGTACTACCATGAATCTTTAGCGGCACATAAGTACTTAGGATGTTCTGAAACAGTTCTAGAGGAACAGGGTACCAAAGTCACCGGACTGTGAGGCTGTATCAGTGTTGAACAGCACACAAATTAGTACTTGTGCTGCCAAACACCATAGATTTGTCTCTAATCATGTGGTTTGTGAAACAGGATCGGTGCTGTACCTCTAGTGGAAGTGATGGGCTTACTGAGAAGAAAGGCTGCGGGTTTAATTTCTAGTGCAGATCTATTTCAACTACTTGCCAAAAAGCATATTACAAAAAAAGGAGGAAAAAAAAAAAAAAGATACCTGACTGGTGTCCTAGGGCTACCTATGACTCTGCGAGGTGATCGAATTTTTGGTTCAAAAGAAAATTTCTCTTTTACGCTTTCAAGTACAGATGGAGCCACATACGTAAAACCCTGCAAAACAGGAATGAATGTGCTGTAACTTACAGGCAAAATTTACATTTATGAGCACTTGTGCAGTTATGATTAGCATCAAATAGTAAATGAAAATTATAAAAAGGAGAGTAGACATATGAACTTCTATTCCCTTCCTGAAGCAAACAGCAGGACTTTCGGGAGTTCCTCACCCGAGTGCCTGCACACCCCAGCTATTTCTACTCAGATCACAGATTCCCACAGGCATGCTCAATTTAATTCATTTTGATCTATAGAATGGACATTATTCTCTCTGCATGACTGTGAAAGCAATCATGTGTCCAGGGTTCATAATGCAACTACAAATCAGAATGCTAACATTTCAGAAAGCAAGCAACATTTGTTGGCTGGTTTATCTATATAAAGAAAACGTCAGCAATAATCAAAATAATTATTTTCAAAGCCTTTAAACATTTCAAACCTGTAGCAGAACGTGTGTTTAAAACTATGACAGTTTGCTCCAGGCATCAGGTGTTAAGATTCAATGGAAGTACTTTGTCTGAAATGCCCTGCTGTCTCCAATTAACACAACGTACCTCTCCGCAGTCATTACGCGCTCGTCCCTGGCTCACTTACCAGAAAGACCTGGTTGGCACTTTCACTGAGAGTAGAGTCATCTGGGCTATCAACAGGTGTCTGACGTGTAAACTTTGAATCAAACTGGCTCACATCCTCTTCAGATTGCTTTGCAAAAACAAAATGGTTAAGGGTTTATATTACAGATATCAACCAAATGGCTTAGCGGTGATGAGTGTAGCCTCTGGATGGAGTTCATTCCATAGGTTTTTGGCAGAGCTCTGCTGTAGTAAAACCCTGGAGTGGTGTCGGAATCCTGTCGCTGCCAGTGGGAGGTCACTATGGGCACTGACACTGAGAAATAAAGGCAAGGGGGAGGGGCAAAAATTATGGATCAAAAAGGAACACAAATTAAAAAGATGCCTTTAAAAAAATTCTCAAATTACAAACAAAAACTTTTAGAAATACAACGCCAGTTTCTTGCAAGTTTAGCCCTCGTCACAACCAGTATAGAACAGTTGCAACTATTAGTTTTTGGAAGTCTCTCCAGATAATTTCATCCTATTTTTGCAGATACAGAAGCGTTTCTATTGTGAGGGATAGATGACAGCTCTGGAATAAATGACTATGAAAAATATTGTTTAATTCGGTCAAAGAGCAGCAGACTTAATTCCAAGATCCCCTCCCTCATTCGTAGGTGTAACTGAAAAGGCAGTACCTATTCATTTGTACGGGCCTTCATGGCAACCATGGAAGCACGTTTTCAAAAGCCATCTGGTTTGTACAACTAACTTCCATAAAATTTGCTAGTAACAGAAAAACCCAAAACTATCTTCAGATAATTCGTTTGGAAATATCAGTCTTGGGTCATTCTGAATTTCATTCAAAAGGGTGAGGGGAAAAAAAGTCTGGAGTCCCCATGCTGTAGTATGCTCAACGTCAGTGATGCCTAAGTCAGTTTAAAGTGAGATTTTTTAGTAGCGAGGAACTATTGGGGCAACAATACCCATTGCTGCTGTAGCTAATTGTACCCAGAGGGGAAAAAGATGAATGCCTCACACCATCAAAATATAAGGTAGGATAACAGCGGCTTATTCATCACATCACTGGTTTGAGGTAAACTTTAATTACTGCCTATAATGCACAAGATGCATTGTAAATATTAATAAGCAAACATACAAAATGCGTAATTAGGTGACTTCATTTACTTTTGCTTAGTAACTATTTATCATCTGAGTTTCAACTAAGTACTGACTTACTGTATAATGTTTAAAAGCAGAAATTCAGAGATACCTGCACTTGCAAGTCTGTTTAACCTACAGATTAGAAGCAGGAGGAATTAAAACTGAAGCAGAACCTTCTTCCTCCAGGAGACTGAACAGTAGGATAAATTAGCTCTTAGCTGATTTTTTCCCTCCTTCTCACATAAAAAAAAGCAAGATCCTATTCCAGTGATGGATGAGTACCATGACCACAGACTAATAAGACAGAACAGCACACTCATGACAGCCGGTATTTCATGCTGTGTGGAGACATAAAGAGGGTTTTTTTTAAAATGTTGATACAGCATCAGTTCTCAGGGAAAAAAAAAAATCTGCATCAGGTAGTTTCTCTCTTTAATTTGACAACAGCGAATCTGAGAACCAGTAATCTCAGTTGATGCATTTAACTATTTAAAATACCAGAAATCAATGGCACTCCAGTTTGTAAGAATGAGCTTTTTTAACTTTTAAATTCCACATTGTTTAAGAACTTTCCTAAAGGCGTACAAGGAGTATCTCACAACGTTCTGGGTACATACCAATAAGGGTTTAAAAGGAGGTTCCACCTTTCGTGCCAACAGCTCATCCCAGTTAATGTGTCTGAAGAACGGGTGAGCCTACAAGAGTTAGCAACAGCACAGAGTCATAATCCACCTTCTAGGTATCAATCACAGAAATTTAGGAATTAATAAGCGTGTTCTTTTCAGACCCTCTCTGCAGTGTCTTTCTTTCCAAAATCACACATGGGTCTGGTGTAATGTTTTCTGCAGCACTACATCAGAGTAGCTGAAGAGCTGAAAATAGATACCATACCTCCAAGGCGGACAACATATGTCCCTATTGTGTTTTCTTTGAAAGTATTAGAAAAAGTCAGTTGACATGCAAAATACCTCTATGTCTTTCAAATTTAAAAAGTTAGATATCTAAAAATAACGTCAAAACACTGTATTAATGACAAATTATCAGAACTGTGCATAAGAAGGACTCTCTATAGGTTGTTAATCTCACCACAAAAAAAGTCAAGCTAGAAGCAACAGGAACTAGGCCTCTGCCTTAACTTTTAACAGCACAGCATTGAATGCAAACTAACAACGTTTTCCCTTGAAAGAGCTGCACTAAATGCAAGGGCTAGCAGGTTTTTCGTCAGACTGCTAGAGTATCATTGCTCTTATGTGGCTGATGGTACAATTAGCATGTGCAACTTCTGGAAGACAGAGCTAAAGAATGAGTTATTTTCCAAATCTCAAATTATCAAATAGGTAGACAGCTGCTTTCATTAAGCTTTAAGCATTCACATTTTCATCGGTTGTCAAGTGTGGCTGCCTTTTTGCTCAAGACAGACAAACTCTACTTCCTTGATGTACCCTCAAAGCTGTTTTATTTTCAGTGAGGTAATTTAAGAATTTCTGAGTTAAGCAAATGTTACCTGAACTTCTCCAGCATCTCCAGGACCAGCTCCTAGACGTGAGGCAGCATTTCTTTTTAGCAGCTTAAGGAGAAATAACATCCAAAAAAGAAAAATTAGTTATACCATTTTAACTAGACTAGTTCTGACGCGAATCATCATTTGAATGAATACCATGCAGAATGAACAAGAACAATCAGAAAAATCTGCATTCGTCAGAAAACAATTGCATTTCCAAGGAAAATCACTTTCTGTACCATGCAAAACAAGACCAATTTATTTAGTAATAAAACAAGCTTGGACTGAATAGCCATACTGGTATCGTTATATTTCTATTTTCTACATGCGCATGTAGTACTGACATTCATTAAAATTCTACCTTTTTAAGCAGATCTCTGGCTTCTTGTGTGAGGTAGGGAGGCAAGTTGAGTTTACACTTGAGAATCTTGTCAATTGTTTTCTTTCTGTTCTCCCCAGTGAAAGGAGGCTAGAAAGCACCATTGTAATGGGAGGAAAAACAGGACTTGTTCAGGTCTCTTACTTGTGTACACAGAACTCACTTCAGTAATTTATAAAGCAGATAAAATTACTGCAAATGGGACTTGCAAATAACTGTTTGGATGACAGCAGCTCATGACTGTAGTCAACATAAGTGTAGCTGTATTTTAGTTATATTTCTTAGTCACAGTTTGTATATATACAAATATATACGTATTTATACATGCATCTGAATTAGAATACTACATAAGCTATGAAGAGAAATACATGCAATTATAACTGTGCACCTACTGCTCCAGTCAGCATGTCATACATTAATGCCCCCAAACTCCACCAGTCCACAGCGCGATTATGCCCACTCCTCATCAAGATTTCAGGGGCCCTATAATCAGAAAAATTGAAAATATGGAAGTATTTTAACAAGCTTAATACTAATTCTGACTACTACTTTTCAAACAAAACCACATTTACCAAGTAAAATTTCCGTAACTGACTGAACATATGAACCGTCAGTTAAAAAAGGCAAAATGTAGCCATTACCCCCACACCAGAGTAATACTTTTCTATTTCATCATGCAGCTCACATGTATTCAATTGTTCCACAGAACGTGTGCGTGACTGTTCCATCGTGAATAGATTCTTTACATAATCCGAAGTCAGTCAATTTTACATGACCTGAAATTAAATATATAAAATTTAAGACTTGCCAGAATTCTGACATTTGTATAAGTAACATTTAAAAAATAGGAATTTTTAACATGGATATGCAATAACTCTGAACTACTTCCAGATCTCTTCAGTGGTCTGACAAAGCAATAAAGCTGTAAAACAGAATGAGGTAATCACAGATAAAACCTCTGTGTTCTACCTGCATAAGAAAGTGTTGCCACTTAGTGAACAGAAACAAGACAAACTACCAAAACTTATTCACAGACAAATGTATTTAAACATAAAGATTGTAGAGCATCATTCAGGTAAGAAAGTAGGCTATTTAATTTTACTGCTTGCTTCAAAGTTTAGAGAACAGCCTTCAACAAATTGTAAAGCGCCCTGAATAATTCAGTACAAAGACTTAGACTACTAAGTAAATAAGTTGTTTAAGGTAACATGAAAATACTGGATGGTACAGACTGCCAGACTAATCAGTATCACATAGTCAACGTAACAGCTAGGTAAGTAATTTCAGCTACGGAAGATTTGGCATCCTACCTAAACTGCCTTTCCTAACTAACGTCTTCAGTCATCCCCATTACTAAAATGTCACTGATGCTACACTGAAGACACAGATCTTTATGTACAATGACCCAGTAGAAGAAAGATTTCAAAGCTGCAGAAATAGCAAGTCAACCATTCAAAAAATGCATGTTTCTATAGACATGAAACTTGGAGCTCGCTGTGGCCTACAGCTGAAGAAGCCATGTATAAGGGCAAGCAATTAGCTTTGGCAATTCCTCAATTATACCAGGAGTGATAATGAACATGCCATTGTTCTAAGGAAATCCATGTAAGAGCGAAGCGTTGTGACCTTTGAAGAATTGTTTTCAAATGACTGGCAGCATAACTGTCACTGGATTTCTACCTTGATGATTAAGCATGATATTTTCTGGCTTCAGATCACGATAGATGATTCCTTTTTGATGCAAGTGCCCCAGTGCCATTGAGATTTCTGCCAAGTAAAAGCTGAAAGGAAACATATGCCACACAATTAGACATATTCAATCATGCAAAGCATCTTAAGCACTAAGAGTATTACGTACATAGCAACAGTTCCTTGAAAGTATCATTAGAAGTGTACGAGAGAATAAATGACAGAAACGATGCCTTTGAAGTTGGTTTGCCAAAAGGCATACAGACTCAAAGATGAACTACAAAATCACGCCATTAGCATTAGGTTTATCTCTGCAGTAGCTATCTTGTCATGAATATATTTGGAGAAATCTGAATTAACCAGTTACTGGTTAAAATATGCTTCAATCTGTATTACCACATCTAGATGGCAAAGCTGAAGAAAAAAAAAATGAAGCTAAGAAGGTAACCAGCAGCAGTCAGAGTCTAGCTGCAGGACAGGATTACAGCCCCATAGGTACATCAAAGCCTTTCTAAGGCATTATCAGCAGGCACTGTGGGAAGATACAACTGTATCCAGTTGTGTGAAGCCTAATCAATAAGGGATAACTTCAACTTGTTATATATAAAATACCACTACTCAAAAGGCTTTTTCTCCTTCAGTAGAATAATTACCTGTATCACTTCACACATCTAATTGTTAGAATCCAGCCATTACAGTGACTTGGAAATGCTGTAACTGGCTGGTAAAATTGTGTGTGGATGAAGGAAAAAAAAAAAAAAAAAAAGAAAAATAATTACATTTACAGCAAGTCTTTTCTCCAACACCCTAAACACCTCCTTTATCACAACCCTATGGAATACAGCCTCATTCAGCAACCAGCAATGGACCCGCTTCTGTAGTACAACTGGAGTTACACCAGCACAACTGGTAAGTATGCAACACAAACATCTTCCCAAAATCCAGTTAACTGCTCCTTAGACTGTGAAAATGAATGAGTAGTTATATATAGTTTTTCAAGTCAGAGCATACAGTTTAAGCACTCAATAAAACCCCCAAAACTATCAATTTACCAAAATAGTTTCACTTACCAAGCTGTGTCTTCCATAAATATCCCTTCTCTCTCTAACTGCATAAATAGTTCTCCTCCTGTCATGAGAAAAATGAGATTATACACTATGAAAGTATCATTTTTAGTCAGTCAAAAGTCTATTTTCTAGAAAAACTATGAGCAACAGGTATTCTGTCCTGCTCTACAAAAAGTTGTTTCACAATAAACAACTGAGAACTTACTATTCTGTTATTCTCAGAATTCTAGCAACCTAAAGAAATGCAAAAAAACAAAACAAAACAAAAGAGCCTACTGAAAAAAACCAACAGCGTTTCTGTCCCTGTATTTTCTATTGTTATAGCTTGAGCGAATTGTTTCTAATCTGTTTCCCTATCTGTGAAATAAAGATAACACTTTTCTGTTTCACAAAGAACCTGCAAAGACTAAAACCTCAGGTACTCCGTATCACTGCAGAGAATCTAAGCGTAACATACAGGAATCCCAAGCCTGATGGCAGAAAAGGTATTAAAACCCCTCCTCTCCTGTGCTGTCATGAAAACTAACTATTTTATGTTTCATTCATCTTTACTGCATTGAATTAGAAGCTTGCTTTATGTTATTCTAGGTATTTTTAATACTAATCTATTGTACATTTTTAAGACACCGTGCCAATAGCTAGCTGGCCTTTTATAAGTAAAGTAAGAAATTCAAATTCTTGATTACGTGAGATACCAAGAAGCAGGTAACAAAATTTCATATACTGACCACTGAGATACTCAAGGATGAGGTAGAGTTTTCCACCAGTCTGAAAGGCATAAATTAAGTCTACGATGAAGGGATGTTTCACTTCCTCCAGTATATTCCGCTCTGCTTTTGTATGAGCTGTATCCTTTGCATTCCTTACGATCATTGCCTACAAAAAGCAGAGATATGTGAGCACAAGAACATGCTAAACAAGGCAGGCACTCACATTCATCACAACACTACATATGACTCAGCAACATAACAAAAGAAGAAAATTTCACCACAATATATACATAACATGAGAGGTTTCTTATGGAAGTTTAAGTTTTTATTTATTTCAAAGAAGTACACAATAATTTAAGCCGGAAGGGACCTCCTGACCTATTTAAACTAGCTACTAACTACACAGACAGCACAATTTAAAGTTTAATTCTACTTCCAACTGTACTTGAATAACAACTGTAAACTGACAAAGTTTATTTTTAGGTATATTAAATAATTAGATAATTGTAACAGCTAAATGGAGGGATAATTTTTTTTTTTTTTAGATTCAGATAGTAATGAAATGTGAACATTCAGGTTACCTTTTTAAGAACTTTCATGGCAAATATTTTCCCGGTGTTTGCTCCAGTAACTTTTCGTACTTGAAACACCTATACAACACCAACACAAAAGCAATCACGTATTACGACCGCATTAGCCGTCATAAATTAAACAACAAAGTTTTGTGAAAGAGAGATGAGATCATCCACAAACTGCAACGCTGCCTGCGGGAGAAGAGCTACTGATTTGAACCTGAACCAGTTTAGGACATTTTCTACTGCCACCAGCCGGTGAGGCTCTGCCAGTGACCTCGCTCCCACTACACCAACCTTGGCAGCCCTAAGGTTACTTTCTGGTAGAATAAACTTTTCAGAAAACAGGATGGGAAGATTAGACCTTGCCAAAGGCAGCAAGGGAGCACTTTAACTGCCTTTGGTGTAATGGATTTACTTCTGTAGAAGAGAGTTCCTTACCTTTCCATAGCCACCTTTGCCAAGCACGCGTAGTAACTCAAAGCACTCTGGTCGGATCTTTTCTGGACCTCTGTTTACACTAGTCTCTGAAATCTCAAATTTTTCACAATGTTCCATGACACTGGATAAAACCGAAACAAGAATATAAGACTACCTGATACTCAAAAACGATCAAATGAAAGTAAGTAAGCATATTACTTTCTGAAAAGCATACACTGTATCTGACATAACCAAATGACTGCTTTGGAGATTTGGAGAATTCTCTGCGTCAGAAATTTTATTTAGGCATGTGCAAAGCAGTAAGCTGCAACTTGCACAGAAAAGATTACCCGCAAATTTTGGGGATTTATAGTATCAAGATTTCCTTCAGATTCCTTCATTTTAATGCATAATAAATCTCTGTATTGCACCAGAATTAAGTTTAAAAGACCGAAGCCTCAAACTGACTTAGCTATTCCTACAAGACCTCAAGTAAAGGCAAGGCTGTAAGGTGTGTTTAAGTTTCAGATCACATTCAGCAGCCCCAACAGTCATGGTGAGACTTCTATAACACCAATACCTTGCAAAAAAAGCTGTAAAAAAAAAAAAAAAAGTCTCACAACTCTGAACATGCCACAAAAGACTGATCCATAATTTAGCGATGCTTCTATAAATTATGCTACAGTTCTGCAAAAGACTAACAGATTGATCCTGCTAAAGTAAATGTAACTGAACTGTTTTAACTATCACTGTCTTTCTTCTCACAACACAGTATGCTGAAACAATCTGGAAGGCTATAAAGGCAGTAACGCTAAAGGTAGCTGTCTCCTGAACGTCAAATCAGAACTTCTGAATTCTCATCTGCTTCAGACTGCTGTGCAGATCTGCAACTGGAGCCTTTGTAAAATGAACAGAACATGCTATGTTCTGCAGACAGTGCATTATATTTGTATTAGAAATATTATTCAAGTACAAGAGATATCTTAGGAGAAACAAGGATTAAAAGACAAACAGCAAGTTTCGCCAGAATTTTTTTTATTATTATTATTTTATTTCAAGATACAATTCACAAATTTTAACGTGAAGAAATACTGAAACAACTAGAAACAACTCAAAACTGAACAAGAATGACAGAATTTTCTATTTAACTTAACAATGTAACAAAATTAGAAGTTATA